ATGGCTGGGGATCGTTTCCAGGCCTGCCCCGTTAAATAACACAGCTGATGTATTTAAACAACTTTCGTTGTCAATGGCAGTAAATGAGTTAAAGAACAATGCTCCCAAATAACTGATCAGCAGGGGGCACTCTGGAGCAAATTGAAGCCTAAGAAACTTAAACTTTTTGGCTTAAAGCTTCATCTGACCTTCAGTGACAGCAGCTAGAGATTAACTCATTAACTTCCGGCTGTTTCCTGATCGGTAAAGCCCGTCGCTGCCAGCGTTTTTCTGCTTTTTCACAGTTTTTTTAAGTCACAGAACATTGCGCGCTAGGATGATGTCAACGCCAAAACTAACAAAACAAAGAGGAGACTCACCTCTTACATCAGGAAGAATCCATGCGTTTCGAGCGTTATCCGTTCTTTCATAATCTGTTGTCGAATTGTGATCGGCAGAAGCTTTTCCGGTTCGCGCCTCACTTTTTTTACAGCAGTGGCCCAAAACGATCTCCTAACACATGGATTTTCTGCTTCCTGATCACGTGACGTGTGACGTATGCGGATGAAGATCGGCTTCAGGGCTGGGATGTGTGTTCTCACAGTGCGGGGGCTCGTTCCTACGCCCACACAGTAAAAAAATGCAAATGACGACTTCAGTCATCAATGGCAGTTAATGGGCTAAAACAAGATCACTAAGAGATCAGGTGATGATTGATGGCTATTCTTCTTCTGCTGAAGCTTTTAAAATGTTTTCTATAATCAGTGAGGCGTCCAAATAATCACAACATGTGTTTGTTCAGTGAATCTAATAGTTTATCCATAACTGAGTGGAAGAACGGAGCGGTATTCCTATCATTTTTAAAAGCGGAAAACCACAATGAAGAAACCCTAAATGTCCACTTTCCCATTGCCTCTTTCACTTTCAAGTAGCTCTTATAAGCTTGAAGTTGTTGGGCTGCTGTGCATTTATTCAGTTGATAGAAACGGCCTTATTCTGTTTGTGGTTTTAAAAAAAAGCGCTGAGGCAAAGGGAAATCCGCTGCATATTCACACAATCATCAGCCGGCGTAGAGGTGCTCACAAATTACATTTCTAACTGACTGGGTATAAAACCCTCTGATAGCTCTTTAGGGTCTGCATGTCTGTAATTTTTAGATGCTGAAGTGTGTATTTCTCTCCCCCGAGAGCCTGGAGTACTCTGAAGAACCAAAATAGCAAAAAACGCAAAATTACATGGATGCTATGGGAAATCTATAAACATGCAACACGCTTGGTCTGAGTTAATCAAGAATTCACTACATGTATGTTACTGTTATTGTCGTATTTGGAATGTTTTATGCTCAGCGCCTTTGCAGGTGTGGAAAGCACTACACAATGATTGATTGATTTCTGATCTGTGGGTTAGGGTTAAGGTGCTTCAATTTATTTAGAAAACTACTGATGAGCAAATAAAAAATATGTTGGTGATTATTATGATGATTATGGAAGCCCATTCCTGACACATAAAAGAACCTATACGTCTCATGGTGTATCATAATTTTGAGTGTAAAAGTCATTATTTAAAGTGACTGTGTGTATTTTCCTTGGCGATAGGGGCAGTACATACCTAAATCATTGCAAGCAAGCAGTATTTTTGTGTTTGAGTAAGACCTTACCAACGGGTGGCCAGTAGGGTCAAAAATCCCAGGGAGCGCAACCTTCAAAAAAAAGACATGCAGGTCACTGGCAACGAGTGCAGAGGTAAATGTGTAAAACGTTTATGAATGGTGAAAGTTTTTTAACCGTTCGTTACAAATCAGTAAATGATTTTTGTCCTCACAGGCTTCCTTAGAAGTAGGGCTGTAGCGAAGCCTCGACGAAGTCGATGACTCGATTCTAAAAATTTGTCGACGTCAGATCCGGAAGTCGACGCACCGCGCCCACTTGTTGCATCCCCAGGAGTTTGTAAATAGAGGAGGAATCTGCCTGTTTTTCCTCTAGTTCGCCCTCTTCTCCGCCTTCACTAACATCTCCGCCAAATACCGAAGACCCGGAACAACGTCCGTCCACTACTAGATTATTTTCCTGTTTTGCCCCTTCGTCTCCCGGCAACGGGCAACAACTTCCGGGGTCAGATGCACTGCTTCGTGTCTATCGCAGATGTAGAAAATCACCGGGAGCGCTTCTCCCTTCATTAAGGAGCTTCTTTCAGACATGAGGAGAGCTGTTTTGGTGGTAGCAGTCTCTCCTCCGTGCTGGTCTGTTTGCTGCTGGGTGTTTTTGGTTTATTTAAACTTGGTAACTTTAACTTAATGTTGGTAAAGCTACTGTTAGCATCTTCGCTAACAGCTTCTTGCGTTGGGATAAGCTGTTACGTTTTGGTTTAGAGTTCATCTTTTTTGTGGTGCAGATCTCCCTTTTATTACATTTAGAGTGTTGTGGGTTTTTGGTTTAGTGTAAAATATCACCTGAGTTTGGTTTAACCCGTAAGACCACTCGCCTCACGCACATAAGTGACCAAAACAAAGCAGCATGGAGACACTCCATCTTCTACCACCTCTCAGGCAGCAGCCTGCACTCCCAAGTTCTACACGTCATCAGAACATAACCAACCAACACAATAAACGCAGTGTTATACAAAATGGAAGGCCTGTAGTGTTTATTATCTTACAGTAAGAATTTATCAATTTTTTTGAGGAATTTATTTGAGATTTTCTGGTTTTTGTTAATTGTGCAATAGAAAAATAATCATTAGATTAATTTTCTAAATAGTCATTAGAATAGTCGACTATTCGATAAAATAATCGTCAGAATAATCGTTTTAAAAATAATCGTTTACCCCCAGCCCTACTTAGAAGGAAACATGGCATCAAATATGGTGTCACCCAGAGACTTAGGGTGTTTCTCAATGTCAAGGCGCCTGGCCTTGCGAGGCGATGTCTTGCGAGGCCAGGCGCCTTGCTTACGAGGACACTGTCCATCCTTGGTCAAAGAAAACTGTTAAATGGAACAGACTTGCATCACGTGACCGCGGCTTCCACGGCGGTCACATAACATCATGTGACACGGAAGATAACGCTATATTTTACACGTATTAGTTTCAATATAAATATAAAATGAGCCTTTTACTCTTTAAATTGTGTGTATGTTTATTAAATTAAATATATAAGTGAGTTGCTACCCGCTAGCCACCGAAGCTGCAACTACTAAGCAACTAACCAACAATAGATAACTTTTTTGGATAAAAAAAAAAGATTTGAAATCTGTTGACTTACTTTTAAACTTGAAATTTTCCCCCGAAGTAGCTGCCGGCGTCTGATCCGCCATCCTTTTGAAAATACCGCAGTGTATTCTGGATAATTTTTGTCCAAGGCTAGGCTACAAGACACCTCCCGTGTATCTTTGCTCAGCTACCTAAATGGCTAACAAACAGAGAACACACACCTCGGTAGAATATGAACATTGGAACACGCCTTGGCGGTTCCTGATGATGTATCTCCTAGACAACCAAGGCAGGACCAAAACATCAAGGTGAGGTTCCTTGGCATTAAGAAATACCCATTGACCCGCCCTCATGTACTTTAGACAAAATTTGGTTATATGTTAGGGCAGGGCGATATGGGCGAATTTATATCACAATACTGTATATTGAGGATTTCACCTCGATAACGATAAATGGACGATAACTACAGGTATGCGCAAAAACACAAGTAGTCCACAAGATGGGGCTGTCACATGTATCATGTTGAGTCACATTTTTACGGGACTCAAGGTTTTACAGGTTCTTAAAGGGACATGAATGTCGCCAACCTGCACACATCTTTTCTTTTTTTTTATTATCAAATTTATTGACATGGGAAAAATCATCACAATAAGAGTCAGAAATGTCGATATCAAGCCCTATTATATGTTAAGAAGCTGCCAGTATTTTTCAACAACACTTCAATGGATGTTTCCAGAGATTGACGGTAAAAACTACACATTGTCTCTTTAAAGATTCTAAGTCATTATTGTGACTTTTAGAAGTATAAACATACCATGTGACCTTTTCTTTCTTTTACGTGGCATAATGGGCTTCCATGTGTTAGTATAAATAACAATAATAATGTCCCCTGCCCATGAAAAGAAAAGAGAATAAGAACAGTTTCATACTTAGACGCTGCACTGTTTTCTCATCATAATAAGCATATTCATATTTTGAATTTGACACTGTACAACACTGTTTTGCTGTTTTACCCCATTGCTTTCTTGGAGATGTTTACTCTAAACTTGGGAAGAAGAAATGTTGCTGCCCTACCACACTTGTTGCTGAATCTCTTGCACCAGCAGCCTCCAGGCCATTGTAAAACTTCTGTCTGGTCTCTAAAAGCCTTGCTTCCGGCTCCGTTTGTGAGACTCTGCAGTATTAGAGCTCCTATTTTTGATGCGTCTTGTTACGTTTCCTCCGTGCCATCTATGAACTTTTCAAGTTGCGTGCCATCTGTAGACCGAGGCGAGGGTCAACATTGTTGGCGGGGTTGAAGATACGTGGCATGACTAATGCAACAGCCCATCAGCGAAGCAGCCAGTTTGGGACTATCGTCTCCTTTTGGGGGCTGCATTGATCCCAGGTCACAGAAACATTATTAGAAACAAACATGTTCAAGTCGATTTGTTGGACCTCATTAGTTCATCTCTACACACGGATCCTCAAATGAGTCGATTTCCGTCGAAGCAAAAGTAATAAACCGGTAGAGGATCATTACTGAGGTCCTGTTTCCACTGTGTGGAAAGAGTTTTATCTCTAAGAGCATTATGAGGACATTAACTCATCATATGCTCTCAAAACAGCATCAATCAGCTTATCACTGATTGGATGATATTCAAAACACAAATGTCAAGATTGCAATTACTGCACTAGCATATCTTCACAAAATGAGTCCTCCTAACATGCATATTCGCTTTTTAAAAAGCTAAATTAGAATATCTGTTTTTTAACTGCTTGGAGGGTTTTTGGTGCCACGGATCTGATGGTGTTGTGATGATTTCTTTTCTTTTCAGGTCAGCAAGACTGAAGACAAGTCTCTGGAGGAACGTGGACGGATCATGATCTCTCTTAAGTACAACACACAGAAGTCGTGCCTGATTGTGGGCATCATTCGCTGTGCTCACCTCGCCGCCATGGATGCCAACGGCTTCTCTGATCCCTACGTTAAAACGTTAGTCATAACTTGTCATAATTTTATCTGTTAGCTGATGTTGTCCTACTCTGAGAGCTATCAGATTTGCGCTCAACATCCATTAAAATTAATGAACTTTTAGCTATTGTTGTGAAAAGTCAGTTCGCTCTGGTGGCCAACAGGCTTTTTGATTGCCTAGATGTCACATTCAACAGGCAGCATGTCCATTTGTCCCCAAAAATCCGACCAAGACAGTCAAACATGTTGGAAAGCCTGAATTTAGGATTGTAGCGATCCCGACCAGAGCACTCTTAATACACCACGCAAGGTAGGATTATCTGATAAGATTATCTTTAGAGTTGAAAATCGGAAATCGTGCACATCCTTCAGATTATCAGAAGGTGATGAGCAAGCCAAAAAATACAAACGTTCTGTGAAGATATTGCAGTCTCCACATTTTTTTTGACGTAAAACCTTAAAGCAGCCATGTCCAAAGTGCAGCCCAGGGGCCATTTGACCCTGGTGCATTTTTATACAATTATAAAATAAAATAAAACTTTTTTTTGTGCCAACAGGCGAAAAAACACAAACATTAAATCGACAAGTGTGACTTTAAAGGTCATAAAATGAGTTTATTTGATCTAAATGTTAATGATCAAATAATAAAACCAATTCTAATATCAACAAATCATTTCATTGAGCTCAAAGTGACTCTTTAAGGTCACCAACATATCTCAGAAACAGATGCATCAGCCGACTTCACTTCTCGTCCAAACACTGGAGTTCTATTTTTAGTGTTCGTGCAAGACAACGTGGAAGTGTTGGAATGGATTGTCTGCCAGAGCTGATGTTGTAGCAGAAAGGAAGATAACCTGTGATTATCAGCAGCATGAGAGAGACGGCGCGCGGGGCCGTGTGATGGGCTGTAATTTGGAGGAGAGTCCTATTTATCTCACCTGAACATTTCCCCAAGTCTTTCATCTGGCTGAGCAATGGAAGTGCAATTAATTTCTGACTCTGCTGTGCACACCTTGAGAACAAAAGCGTGACTTGTTACGGTAGGAGGGGGTGCTGAGAATGAGTTTTGTAGCCGTTGAAGGTTGAGGGGGTTCTCCATGACGCCTGAAGGACACGGAGCAGACCGTCAGAGATGAACCGAGGAGTGAGCAGGAACACGGGAAACGTGTCCGCCGTCAGATAAACCCACGAGCTGGTCAGAATGTGTCTGTGTCGCCTAAACGGTCAGGGGTTTACATTTTCTTACTGAAACAGGGTATCAGTAACGAATAACATAAACAGCCTGTTAGTCGATGAGACAATCATCTAGTTAAGAAATAAACTAAATGGTCTTCTTTTTGAAAAATGTCACAACCCAGTTAAAAAGTAAATGAACTTGTCCTCAGTTTATTTAAATTTTCATTCCCGGCCTCTACAAAAGACGGGAAAGATCATTTCTCACTTTCTGAGTCTTCCGATGACTCTGACCAGCAAATCTTTCCCACAACTTCCAAACGGGTTCAAAGATTGGAGCAACAGGAGGATGCAACTGTTAACAAACCAGGATCCTAAATAAATAAATAGATAGTAAATGAAACAGCTCTGATGGCTTTGATGCATTGATGATTAAAACTACATTTCCTGCTGGCGTGAATCAAGGATGGGCAATCAACCATGAGCTGGACGGAAAACAAAACTCTGATTTGCATTCATGATGTTTTCTCATGATCCTAAAGGTGCGAATCACTGGGAAACTGGGGTTTAAACTCAAAGCTGCAGTCATTTCTCTCCAGATGTTTTAGCTCTTGAGATAAAAAGCTGGCTGTCTCCAAGAAATGAAGAGAAAGTCCGGGGCCCTCATTTATCAAAATGTTGAAAAAAACTGTCCCAATATTCCTCCCTAGGAATGAAATGTAGAATGTTCGTACGAACAGTCAAAAACCTGATTTATGAAACAGATAGTGTGTTTATATTGTGTTTTTTGTATATAAGAGACTTTTTAACAGACAAATTTGTCTCTCATCCTCCTCCACCTCTTCATGCGCTCGCCACCTCTAATCCCACGTTTCCCGTCATTTCCGTCCACAAATAAAACGCTTGTCTTTTCACTCCTCCAGTCACGGGGGAATTAAACATTCATATTTTTAGAGTTTTTTCACGACGTAATCTTCAAGCTGCTCCATGTCTGCCACTATCCTCGGCTTTCTTTATGTTTTTGAGGGTGCAATGTCGGCGGTGTGGACGACAGTGACGCCCTGACCAACCACAAGCTTGCGTTCTCCGTCTCGACGGACGGATGTTTAGAAAAGAGAGCTCAACTCTGTCCGTCCTTGCGGGGGCTCTCCAGCTGGCCCGCAAGGACGGATAATGGCGTTGCGTGTCCCCGCACTGACGCAGAAGCACGACTCAGGCATAACTTCTAGTTGCTGAAACAGGAGCGCCAGAGCTTTTTCTTTAAACAGAAAACAAATGAGTGAACGAGATCTGTAATGTTTCTTTTGAGAGTTCACTCAAAATAAACAAACCCAGATGGGCAAAAGAATCATCCATTTATTTTAAAAAGGCCAATTTTATAACAACCAGCTGACATAAAACTGTTTGACTGAGCTGCAGGAAGTCATTCGGATTAACGTTCAGGCTTAATTCTCTCAGCCTTCATCAAAGCAGAAGCATAAACCTCTGAATGACAAAAAACAGACAGGAAAATCCTGTATGGTAACTTCCAGGGGAGGTCAGTGGTCTCGTTACATGACAGAAATTATTGAAACGTCCTCATCGACAAGAACGTCTGCTCCCACCTCTCCCCAGGGTGAAGCTGGAGAGGGATAACCCGCTTAGCCTTCCTTATCCTGGGAAATAACGTGTGTGTGTGTGTGTGTGTGTGTGTGTGTGTGTGTGTGTGTGTGTGTGTGTGTGTGTGTGTGTGTGTGTGTGTGTGTGTGTGTGTGTGTGTCCTATGAAGCAAGAGGGGATGTGGTGTAACTAAAATACAGTAAAATATCTAGCAGGAAGGGTGAGAAATAAATTCAACCTGCTTTTTGAATAATTTATAGAGACAGAAACGACAGTCAGATCCCCACACAAGCTGATTGTACATTCATAAACACACACACACACACACACACCGCTGCACCCGGGGCAACAGTGGCACCAAGAATCCGTTCTCACCACTGACTCACCGGCTGCAGTCGATGCAAACAGAAAACAAGCTAAACACTGCTGTGTGTTTTCTGAACACCTCCATAATTAAAAGTGGCGTTGCTTCCGGTTTCCTAGATTTACTTTTGTTGTTTCAATCCTGCACAGCAAATGTTCATTTTCTGTTAAATACAACTTCACAATTGACAGACTTTATTCGTTCTTCTGCTAACTTTACCATTCGTACATGCAGGAAAAATGGCATTTTAATTTTATTCAATATTCTCATTTCAGTGATGACTCAAAACTGCATCATTAAATAAGCAATAAACAAATTTGTAATGATACAAAATCATTTTACTACATCTAAAAGGAGCTGTAAGAATGTTGCACTGAAGTTTATGAGGACATTTATCAATAATTCTTCATTTGTCTCGTCAGAAAAATAAGAAATCTTTGTTACAATGTCCAGATTGAGTTACCAGCAAAAGGATCAAATCCTCCCAGTAAAACAAGGGAACCTATTAAAGCCAGATAATGGGGTGATTTGGGTCTAATGTGCTGATGGCTGTGATGCATCTGTTTGTGGGTTTTAATGCAGGGTAGTGCCACAGCACCCCCTGGAGGACAGAATTATGCAAATCTACATATGACGGTATCTTTGAGCTGTTGGCGGAGTTTCGTGATGCTGATTCTGTCATCATAAAGTCACATCACAGCCTGAGGCTGCTACTAAGCCTTCTCCTCTGCTTTCCAGGTACCTGAAGCCTGACGAGAACAAAAAGTCGAAGCACAAGACTGCTGTGAAAAAGAAAACCCTCAATCCTGAGTTCAACGAGGTATGAAAAAAGAGAAAAGCATCTTTTTTCTCTGAAACCTCCCTGCAGTTCCAGTCAATGTGTTATTTTATGTCTGTTACCCTTCTCTTCGGTTCTGGTGCTTTTATGTGCTGCAGCCTCAGCTTCAGCATCTCTACACAAAACACTCAGATTTTGACCTTTTCTGATCAAATATATTTACAAAAACCTACACAATCTGATACGTTGAGTTTAAATGTTAAAGAAAAGCCTCGATGTGATTTTTCCCCATTTTCCCCATCTTTAATATCCGCTGTAGTCATCATTTTTCCAGAAGGATATTAAATGCCTCCCGGGTTGCGTCGGGTTTCTCGGTATGTCGCAGCACAGGAAATATCCACCTGTACACAAACAGACGTGGCTGGTCAAACACTCCCACAGGCCAGCAGCTTGACATTTCCTTTGACATTTTTGGCGCCCGTATTCTTCCATCACCTCTCGGCCTTTCTGTCGGAGACGAGCATCGTCCGTGATTAAAGTAGAGCAGAAACTTCCATTAAACCACACGCTGAAATGTTCCTCTGTAAATTTAATGATTCAGATAAACATCAAAGGTTGTTTTTTTTTATTCTTAACTGCGTTTTTTAAATGTGACTTTAGGCCTGTGATATTCCTGAGGGAGTTTTGAAAATGCCTTGAAACGTTTGCCATGGGTAACATGGCGGCTGCATTGTGGAGCAGCTGGCCACACGGTGGCCTTGCAGCAAGAAGGTCACAGGATCAAATCCCAACTGTGACCTTTCGGCGTGGAGTTAGCATGTTCTCCCCAATGGTTTTCACCTGGTGCTCTGGTTGTCTCTATTGAGGGCGTCCACCACTCGACTCGGCTTGCCTTTATGCATTTAGGTGGATTTTTCATCACAACTGAGAACGGCTCCTGTGGGCGGGCTCGTCGTAACTTCAAGCACGATGTGATCTGTACGCAACAGAAACACAACGCAACAATGGCAGACCTGGTAGTGATGCTGAACATTCTGCTTAAACCAGGTTCACAATTAGTCGATTTTCAAAGCAAGAGAGACCATTTACAGAGTTATAAAAAATCATGGATGTACTGTTTTTGGTCCTATGGTGTGTGGTGTGCAGAAACTCCGCTTTCCCTCACAGACATTCCCCGCTGAGACGGGAGATTTTACAAGTTAAAAGTGACGTTGATGTGCGCAAACATGGCGGAAGAGCCATGGTTTTTGATTGGCTGGATGTAACGCTCAACACGTTAAAAAATCAGACCAAGACGATCTAACACGTTTGAAAGCTTTATGATAAGAGCAGTCCCGGCCAGAGCGCTCTTAACACACCACACAAGGTAGGACCATCTGATAAGATTATATTTAGAGTTGTTAGTTGGTCCGCATCCTTAAGATTACCGGCCTGATTACCCTGTGGTATGAACCATGCTTTTGTCAGACTCTGAAAGGAAGAGACTTTTAAGTAGAATTACTGGCATAAATGAACTTTTGAACCATATTTAAATTTTTTAAGTTTCACCTATAAAAGCATAAAACAAGGTACCATAGAATTAAAAGGTCATTAAAAACCTGAGTGAACAAATGGGTTTTCTGCTGCTTTTTAAAAATACGCAGGTTGAAGAGTGCAAGGACAGTGGCAGAGGCTAATTTAAAAACCTTTTTATAAGTTGAGTTAATTTGATATTTTTTATTGCAATCCTCTTTTCTCTGCAGGAATTCTGTTACGATATAAAATATGCAGACCTGACTAAAAAGACCCTGGAGATCACTGTGTGGGACTACGACATTGGCAAGTCCAACGACTTTATAGGTAAGATCAGGTGATGTCAGCTCTGCTTTCGTCAGAGGTGATGCTGTGGGATGAGCTGGAGTGATTTTCAGAAACCTCAGCAGCACAACTGGCCTTCTGTCTAGCTGAGAGTCCATATGTTCATCCCTTTAAAGCCCGAGGACGGAAAATTAAAAAAAGCAAAGTGAGCAGGCATCAAATTCTGCTTCAAAGCACAAATACTCTTCGCAGAATCTTTAAGACACATTGTTTATGATTCTTAGTCGTCTTGGGTGGTCTTCCTGCTTCTTTTGGTGAAAAGTGAAGCCACACTTTGTCTACAGGAGCTGCCATGTTGAGTCATGTTGAGCTGAAAGTCCCGCCCACTCAGCTGCAGACAACCACAGTGTTGTTAAGCATCAAATAACAGCTCAGATGTTTTTTTTTTTGTTCGTTTGTTTTTATAATCTAAATGCAAACTCCATCTGACTTCAGCGTAAACACTCTACAGGTACTTTGGGGGATGCAAGGTCCTAGGAGGATCTAAAAAGTCTGATTTAAAGACAGAAAATGCACAGAAAATTGCAGTAAGGTTAGATTTTGTCCTTTTTGGCAGCAGTGCAGTAGTCTCCATCACGTCTTAAAAGGTTTCTGCAGAACTCGATACCCAGAGATGCATCAGCTGTGTTAAACCAGGAAAAGATCTAAAACATGCTGGTGATGATGTTGGACATCTTGTAGATGTCCAGCGTTTCTCACCGTTTTTACTGTTTTTTTAAGAGTGACAGAACGTTGCACACTAAGATGATGTCGACGCCAAAACAACCAAAACAAAGAGGAGACTCACCTCTTACATCAGGAGGAATCAGCGCGTTTGGAGCGTTATCCGTTCGTTCATAATCCGTTGTTGAATTGTGATCGGCAGAAGCTTTTCCGGTTTGCGCCTCACTTTTTTTACAGCAGCGGCCCAAAACGATCTCCTAACACATGGATGTTCTGCTTCCTGATCACGTGACGTGTGACGTATGTGGATGAAGATCGACTTTAGAGCTGAGATGTTTGTTCTCACGGTGCGGGGGCTCGTTCCGACGCCCACACAGTAAAAACATGCAAATGACGACTTTAGTCATCATTGGCAGTGAATGAGTTAAATATGCATGTCCCAACCCACCGCAACGAGCTGCTGCTAATGCTAGCCAGAGCTGCTGCTAACATCCTTGTTAGGCGAGAAGAAAACAACACTGTTGGAGCACACATGAAACGTTCCAGGATGTACCGGGAATGTCCAGACTTTAAAATAATGCCCGATAAATCCCTAGGTTGTCTTTTGAGTTATCCAGATTCTGAACACAGCTGAACAGAGTTTCTAGCTTCAGGCACCATCATAGTCAACGGAGTAAACCAACCAATCAACATGCAGTTCATTTAAATTCATGTCCTGGCCAAATGGGCGGGGCAAACCGCTCTTTCCATCGCAGGGCTTTATTATGGGGTTGCGTTTGGCCATTTATCGCTCCAGGGCCACGTTGAGCCCCAACAAAGTTTCATGTGTTATGTGGAGGCTCAGAGAAACAACATAGTTCTGGGACCCCTTTCATCGTCTTACTCTCAGCTCACAGTAAATGCCAGTAAAATACAAACACTCCTTCTTATGGATCACTAATGTCTCCTCTCCCCCTCTCAGCTGAACAAATCGATTTTGTATTTGACATGTTGATGTATAACTTCGATGTCATACTGTCAGATTGATTCTTGTTCCTGCGGAAGTTTTTGCTGAGAGTTCATCATGTGACTGTGTGTGTGTGTGTGTGTGTGTGTGTGTGTGTGTGTGTGTGTGTGTGTGTGTGTGTGTGTGTGTGTGTGTGTGTGTGTGTGTGTGTGTGTGTGTGTGTGTGTGTGTGTGTGTGTGTGTTAGGTGGCGTGTCTCTGGGTATCAATGCAAACGGAGAGAGGCTCAAACACTGGTTTGACTGCCTCAAAAACAAGGACAAAAAAATTGAACGCTGGCACACGTTGACCAATGAGTTACCTGGATCGTTAAACGACTGAAGACCTGCATCCCGGCCCCCTCCACCACCACCCACACACAGACCTTCATCTTCTTTGGATCTTCCTCATGTCGGACACCTGACACCTCCACTTGGGATTATACTACTGTCAACAAGGATCGACTAAAAAATATCCAAATCTTATGTTTATCGTCTACAGCAGAGATATCCAATCAGCAAAGTAAATAACAGGGACTTTTGAGTTTATTCTGAGGCTTTTCAGCTTTCTTGCATGATCGGCGAAGACAAACGAAGCAATTGGTTTCTGTTTGATGAGACCTCTAACAGCAGCTGAGTAAATTTCAATAATCCCTGCAGCAGAGGAAACCCTTCTCTACTCTGTACCATCTTCTAGGTCAGAAATAACAATAAAAACGCAGGAGAAAAAAATCCATGAGAAACTGAAAGAGTAGCAAATATTTTCTTATGAGCAGAAACATGTAGTGAACCTTACCTAGAAGAGTACCGGGGCAGCAGAATGAAGACGTTGCACTTTAACATGATTGTAAACGCTGAACATGGCTTGTTTCAGACACGTTTTCCTTTGAGTCGTTCGTTTGCTTTAAAACTGTTCTGGTTCAGTCCGGTCCACTTTGTCCTAGTCTCTGATCCAGTCTCTCAACAAGGGGACATAGCCTGGAAATTGAGACCTAGCGCCCCCTTGTGGTTGGCTGCAGTATCATTTACTCCATTTATTTAGCCAACATTAAAAAGCAATTTTTTTTAATTTTATTTTTTATTCATTTGGGACAATAAGGTAATATTAAATAGTAAAAGTTAAATTACTGTAATGCTAATATAGAAGGTTTTTTTATATTCACAGTTTTGGGGGATTTTTTCTCTATTTTATTAATTTTTATTTTTCAGTTTATTTTATTTTATGCTTCAAAGATATTTTACAAAGTGAACTAATGAGGGATTTTCCTGACTTAAACAACTGAACTACTCCTCAGATCATTTTTTAATATTCTCTGTTCTTACCTTGCTGCTGTCTGTCTAAATCTTCATTTAAAGGACTTCCAGCTCCAAATATCAAATGTGCCCTGAGTCCAAAAATGAAGCTGGCTGCATTCTTAAAGGAGATATTTTGCCTTTGCTTTTGTTGATGATCACACGGACCTTTCAAAGCTGAGTAAGGCTTCAAAGGAGACATTTATTCTATGATCAAAATCTGCACATCATTTTTTACTGAGTTGGTGCCAGAATAAGTCGTTTATTCGCCACCAAAATACTTGAAGAGGCTAAGTTATCAAAATTGTTTTTACAAAAAGGCATCTGCGTGTTTTAAATAATCAAAACCCAGATGTTAAAACGGATCTTCTTCAAGCAGCAAAACTCATGACTTTTATACACCAGGAGCAGAAAAACCATTCAAAGTAGAAAAAATGCAGGAGAATCTTCTTTTACATTTATCCTGAATGCAGACGGAAGATGGTGCAGAAAGGTTAATGATGGAATAACAAATAACTCATCAACCTGGTGCACAGCAGAGCTTGAGGAACAAGGAAAACATGGAGGACAGGTTGGAAGATGGCAGCAGAGTTTGGGAAAGATTAGAGGAAACTGTGGATTATTGACAGCCTAGTGAACTAGACCAAATTCTTGCTTTGCAAATAATGGTCTAGGCATGCTCCATTGGAACCTCAGCAGCTCCTACCAAGACTCTGGCTAGCCAATCACAGCTCTCTAGAGGAGTTTCAAACACATAAAGAGCTGTGATTGGTCCATAATGGTGGGCCAATCATAGTGCTCTATCTGCTTAGTGAACAAATCACAGAGCTTTATCCGCTTTGTGGGCCAATCAGGGCACTTTATATGCCTGGTGGGTGGGATGATGCAACAGAGTGAAACAAGAGTATGTCACATTCATTGTCCAGTGGAATGCCGGGATCATTTGAAAGACAACGGTAGAACCCGCCCCACAACCGAGAGCCGTCAATGGAGCATGGCCAGACTAAATAATACATTTATTTAGTCTGGCTTGCCAGGCTAGATTATTGACTCTTTGCACCGACGTCACCTAATCACGTGGGTCCACCATGGTGGACGGCAAAAGCATGTAAGCAGTGAGCGACACGAGTACTAAACAAAG